TAAATGCCCCAATGCCCACTCATACCATTTGTGTCACTTCATGCCCCCCACCTACATCAAGTCTCCTACCTCCTCCATACCAACCAGTGTTCTTCACTCACCACATGACACCTCACACCCTTCATTCCAACCAATGCTACTCCCTCACACCTATGACTGTTTCTTGCCAACCCCAGACTCTCACCCACCTTGTGCCCTTACATCCTCACTCCAAATTATCCAGTATCCATTATAGGTAGACCTCAAGGCCCATGCTGAGGTTAAATAAATTCCTTAAATATCGATTAATGCATTCTCTTAGAAAAAAAAAACACTCAAGGATAAAATTGCCATCCATTTGATATAGCTGTATTTAATTCTTCATCAAAATCAGCAGCTTTATCAATGGCCTTTATAAGACTTTGAAATTGTTAATCAAACTGTGAACTGACAGGCACCCCACTGAGATCATGGGTGGAATCTTATAGAGGACTGGGTAACATAGACTATGGCAAGAAGTGTGGCAAAATCAGGAGCTAAGTCTAGCAAGGACAATTTCGATGTTGGGAGCAGTTCATGAATCTTTTATGCTTTTCACAAGCAGTGTAGCGCGTTTCTCATTAAGCAGTAATGTGCTGTCAATTAAATGTGTTTATTACTTATTAAATGCCTCATCAACACCCAACTCAACTTACTAATATTCAGCTTTCCATCTTACATGTCTCACCAAACCAGTTGAGAAACCTGAATTGGGAAACAAAAGTGGGTACCTGGCAGATTCATGGAAAATGGCGTCCATGCTGCGAAAGACCAAACTGCATCTCAGGGCCTGATCCACACGGACACTGAAATCCAGCATTTGCCATCGCAACCATCACGGATGTCTTCAATACAGTTGCAGGTGGCTCACACAGCTCAAACTTGCATTGCAAGGTGCAATGGCAACTAGCACTGAAAAGCTGCACCATGTATGGTACGAGCATGCAGGTAAGTCCTAAGTGAGTGAGCATAACTAGCTGAGTGCCTGTTTGTGCACACTCACTTACACCTACCTGCATGTTCACTCCATAACGCCATTTTCATGTTTTGCCTGTTAGTGTGTTGGCTCGTCTCTCAGTACTGCTAATTGACGTGCTATTTACAGCAGACGCACAGACAGGCTGCTTGACAGTAGGGATCTGTCTGCGAGGGGTGGACGAGGCCATCTTGCTGTACAGCACACTGAGACAGCAATCTAACACCTACAGTGTGTGCCAGCTATCTGCGCAGCAAACACACTGCCTCTTTATTCAACCAAACGGCCATACAAGAAGTTGGTCCAGGCAGGTGCTCAGTCCAATGGCTCCTGTCAGTCAGTGGGCCCTGCCACTGTCAATCACGTACACAGTCAACACTACCCAAGGGCTTCATCATGGTCAATTGTCCTTTGGGACAATCACAGTTCAGGGAACTGTCCCAGAATACACTGGGGAGTATTCAGTAGTCAGCATCTGAAGGCATGATAGACCACAGGAGGAAGGCACCACCACTAGGGGGAGTATAAAGTAACATAAACATAAACATCATCAAGGTGTAATGCCAGAATAACTCACCATTCAGCAGGTATCTGCTGAAAGACTGGCATTGCTTGTGCCCATGCCATCTGTCAGAGGCCATTGTGTACCCAGACAAATGTTAGCAAAATTTAGCATTGCCTCTCGCTGGCAAAGTAATGGCATAGTAGCCATAAGGTCACACTGCTCATGGCACATAGGCTGATCCTCCCTCAGATATACAAACCCATCCTCTCACTCTAGTCGCTGTTTAACCACCGCCATACGCTTTACCTGTCTGTAGCTAGGTCACTATTGTCTGTCCCCAGCGCTTGTTGGAGACCCAGAGCTTGTCATTGTCCAGTGAGGAATCATCATATACAGGTAAACAATTAGACAATTGCAAATCTAAGCTTTATTTACAAACAGAATAACTAGAGGCTGCAGTTCAGCCCCACAATTCAAGCCAAATGCTGGCATTATGATCAATGACCATTTACCATTCCTTGATGGTGTGCTGCACCTACCTACCATCTACTGGAGCCACGTGTTAATTGGCTTGTAGCACCCAATTCTGTTGATCTCTTCACACATGGAAGTTTCCTACGCCTCAACATCCTGTCCTCCTTGGAAGACTGTTCCTGTTCGTCCAGTTTCTCAGCATCTATCACATCATCTCGTTACCTGCTCCAAATGTACAGAGCACAGTGGACCAGTATGATGTGACACGTTCTGTCTGGCCTATACTGGAGCTCTGCCCCAAACCGGTCCAAGCAATGATACCTTCAGCAGCACTATCGTCAGCTCCACCATGGCCTTCGCCACAGCATGTGTACCAACCTGGTGAAGGTGCCCATGCCGACTGACTGACCAATACATTACATTACAAAAGGGGATGGCTATGTATCTTGACCCCCTCCTCATCCTCAACCCACAGCAAACATTCAAGTTTTCATTGCATTCAATACAGTCTATTGTCATACTTACATGGCGTTCGATGAATAAATGTTCCCCTCCTCCACATCACCCTTAGAATTTCTACCAGTGATGAAATATTTTTGCTGATCATGTACCTCTTTTTGAGACTTTGGTGTTAAATTCTCCATCATTGAGTTGGCAATGTTAGATTTGCAAGAACCAATGGCATGGTGCAATTTGCCTTTGACTAGAATTGGAAACCTAACCATGTTCACTTCATTTGCACTGAAAATGCGCAAAGAAGTTATTGCAAATGAAATGGAGCCACAGTTTGAGAACACATGCTTCATGTATTTGCTCCTTCAATGTCCTATCATCTAGCAGACGTGGATCCTGACTGCTTGTGATGGCCCTATGTATCTGACCATTGCCCATTCCCCAGCCTCTAGTTGAATATATCCTCTGACTACCATCATAGTTGGTGTTTAGTGCTGAGCAATTTGCAATCTCTTCATAGGCACTGGCGAGCTGAGGTTGCTTGTTGCCTGCTCTGACTTCCATGTCGAGAATTCTCAACATCCAGCTTGTTTGACACTTTTGGTAAGATAGGAAGTTAGTGAGTCATGAAGTAAGTCATGTCATTAATAAGGTGCATAACAAGCTATAATCCCCCTTAATCAGAAACTTTGTAGAGAGAAACATGGCACATGCATAAAAGATGCAATGAGTTTCTCCCTCAGCATCAAGATAGACCTCACCTGAATTCTTGCACATTTCTGCCCCAAATCTTGCCATAGCCCAAGACTTTCAGGCCCCAATAAAATTCCACCATAATAAGTAAGCTGATGCTTTATTCCATTACTTGAAATGGTTCTTTTTCTTGTTGGCTAGCATCAATGTCATTTGTGGAAGAGAGTTCCAAACTTCCACCACTTTTTGTGCGCAGAAGTGCTTCCTAACATCTCTCCTAACATCATCAGTGATACAGCTTCTGGAAAAAGGTGACATTAACTGTGCACCCAGATTGACATTCACTCAGAGAAGCACATTAATTCTAGAAAAATATAAATTAGTGACATCTTCCAAGATTGCTTTGTTTCTCAAACAATATGATAATCATTCTGTCATTCTGTTGTTGAAGGATAATGCACATCAAATATTCAATTCTGGATTTAAATTCAGAATCGTATTCTATTTCACATTTCAGGCTTTGCCCAACCAACATACTTCTGGAAATGTTTGGATTTTCAAATCTGAAGTAAAGTTCTGAGAAATTAATTCAATCATTCCCTGTCTTCCTTGAGATAGTCTATTCCACATAATGCACTAATGGCATAATGTAACATGGAATTCTCTGGAAAATAGTAGCAATGAAAGTTCAAACTAAAAAACATTATATATTAAGTATAATCTGTATAACTCAAATTAACCTGAATCTGAACAATTCCTTCCAATGCCAAGATCTACTGTAGAAATATTGGTCGCACATGTTTAGTAGCTATTCTTAGAGAATAGATGTAGTTTACCCAAAACATACAAATTCAAAATTCCAAGTGTGTCTGACTAGTCTATAATACTGCTTTTATACTGTCAAGAAATATTCAATAATTGCAACAAATACATGTGTTTCGACCCAGACACCCACTCATGTATATAAGCAGATGCAGACATATATGTGGAGATTCAAATTGCACAAATACATATCTCAGACATGCCACTGAACATAAAAATGATAAAGGTTCATATTATGCACTTCTAAATGGAAACACTATCTTTTTCTTAAACTGAAATGCCTGAATCCCATGGACAACAGAATCCCACATGAGTGTCTCAATCTGTATCTTCAGAACCTACATCAGAAATACACAAACTCACCGGTGAATTTAACATTCTGCATGGTTAAAAGCTTTGCATTACAAGTAGCCCTGCTTATTTCAATTCTTTCATGGGTTGTGGGCATTGCTGGTTGGTCCAGCATCTAATGGCCATGGTTAATTGTCCTTGATAAGGCAGACTTACACCCTCTTCTTGAACTGCTATAGTCCAAGTGATATAGGACACCTGCAGTGCCTCTATACTGTTCATTGTTGACAACCAAGTGCAAAGATAGCCAAACAATAACCATAGCAAATCAAGTGATAATACTAACAATATTTTAAAGATGAGCTGCCATTACAGTATGATATAGTTATATGAGACACAGGTCAAAGTCAATAGGTACATTGGGATTAGTTAACCAGAATGGCTGATGATGGGGCTAAGTGGATTAGGCAGGAAACAAAGCATGGCAACAGTTTGCTTATATCAGGGAGTTATCAGCCATACTTAAATTAGGCACCTAAAAACATAGAGTTGGGCTTCAGATCTAGCCATCTCTGTACTCTTTCCCTTCATTTAAAAAAAACACCCTCTGCTTTCTTGTTTTGGCAACCACAGTAAGATTTCATCTGGACATCACAATGAAATCAATGTCAGTTTAAGCATGTTGTTTTTGCCAACATCGTAACAGTGAAGAATTAAACTACGCCATACCACTTACAGCCAGTTGTTCAACAGGGAACAAATTATTACCTGTGGTCGTCTCCACTCAATCAGTCCTGGAGGTGACTTGGAATAGAACAGTGACTCAGTTGTAGCAGGAAAATAAGCGTCCTCAAACAGCCGATGGTGCTGAAGGCAGTCTTTTTTTAAAGCTGAGTACTGCTGGTCTTTGTACAACTTTACAGATACAACCATCATTCAATCTAAAACCAAAATAGCAGTAATGCATGCATAAACTTCATAATTGTACTCAATGGAAAGCTTGCCAAATTATGTAAGATATTTAAATGTACATAAATAGTTTCTATCCGCCCCCTCTGTATTTAGAACGTTACTGTAAGAAATTACCCTTATTGCTACAGAAATAATTCAGTTGAGGAAGTTTTGTGAACAATTAAAAGTCACTCTTACCTACCGGCCTTTTTCTAAGTCAACTGTCAGCTGGATCACAACAAACTCTCCATCTGTCCTGCAAAGTTCTCTGCATTTTAACCTGCAAGTTTCCAGACTCTACCATCTAGGAAAGCTGAATGGGGAGTTCTTGAACTCATCAGCAACCTCCTATTAGTTAGAATGGTTTGGTGGAGCCCTTTATTTTGTAAAGAAGCCAAATAAAAACAAATGCAGAATTTTTATTTCCCTCCTTGGTTCTTTAAAATCCCTATTGAAATAGAATTCATGATAAAGCATCTTCATTAATAATTGAAGTTCATAGTTCTAAAATAAGCTCTCAATTTGAAGTGAAACTAAATAGAATACAAGAAACAAAATTATTGATGGTATTTTATTTGTCTTGCTAAAGGTTGTGGTTTCACTGTTTACTGCAATTCAATTCTTTGGTACCAACCTATTCAGGACACCTTTTTTTGTGTATCAAGGTGAACCAGGAGTAGTACTGGTGGAGAAAAAGACTGGTCTTAAAGGACAATATTATCCTGTCAAGCTGTTAGTCAATATTTTTCAATTTTCCTCATCTGAACATAGTATTAGCTATGGTTCATAGATTTGAGCAATCTTTAGTAAAGTACTCAAACTATCATTCTACATTTTCAAGACTTGTCAATGCATGCCAGAGGATAGACAGTCAAAACCAATGTGCTAATTGACCTAATTCCATAAACATGTACTTACTAGCACAGGTAACTTCACAAAGAACAGGAGCAGAAACCTGGTGCACCAGGCACAAACCATTAGAAATAAAAATAGAAACTACTGAAGAAACCCAACAAATTTGGCAGCTCTGATGAGAGAAACACAAAGTTAACATTTCAAGTGCTGTCTGTCTCTTCTTCATAACTATATCTTCCAATTGATAATATCTAGTTTAAATGGACAGTAGTACATTCTACATACTAAAAATGGCTTCTTTGCTCTATCATTTCAATCTGATGGGACCCTGCCAAAGTTAGAACATTCCATAACTTATCAAAGCTTGAAAATAAATTATTGTTTAAATAACACTGGCTGTAATTTGTTTCCAGAAACATTTGAGGTATATTATTAAAACATCAAATAAAAATCCAGTCTTTGTCACATAGAAAGTTATATATACTTACAGCAATTCACTAATTATCACTCAATCAAGGGTCATCACTTCCTTATTCATCTATTTCATGAATAATATTTGATACAGAATCAAAACATAAAGTTAATGCAGAAAACAAAATACAGTTTTGAAAATGCTGCATGTCAGGGTTAAATGGCCTCATTGACTTTGTTAGTAATTGTAGTGAATTCAGCATAAAATAGAATGATTTTGAAACTAAACTCTGATCACCCAGGATTGCCTAAAAGTTTCAAATAACCCCCAAATCAGTTCCGTGTCTTGCCTCTGAACTACAAGGGAAAGAGTTGTTTCCAGCCTGGGATTCAGTAGAAGTGAAATTTGTTGAAATATCATGGTGGTGTGAGTACTGTTTACTTCTCAGTTCCTTCTAGTGAGAAATGCTTCTTCTTCTGTATGATGGCAGGCTGAGATAGGGATATTTTGAGTGTTATTTCTCCTTATTGCAGAAATACCCTGTATCACCAGAATATATTGCAAAACACACAAAAGAATAAATTATATTACTACTGCTTAAACGTGATCATCAAAGAAAGGAAAGCAATCATCATGTTCTCATGGAAGGAACCCATGTTTCTGAAACAATATGTTTTACAAATGTACATGCAAGTAAAATTGATGGTGGTAAAAGAAATTCCCTGTTAGGACTGTATAATTATGATGTTGTCCCTGAACAGAAAAACAATTTTCTGAACAATTTTGAAACGTCTCCCTCTAAAACCAAACGAGTAAATGATTACAATAAATACTTAAAAATTATACTGCACTAACAAGCTTATCATTACGTGCCTTAAATAAGAGCAGAAGTATTATATACACTATATTAAACAAATGACTGTATGATTTTGAGTTTCCACTCAATCATCTTAGCTTTTTCATCATAATTTGCCCAGTGTCCCATTACTGGTGCAAAAAATGATGGAACTTTAATCACATATTTACTCGGTACAATTTCAGTTTGCACAGTCTTGTGCAGTAATTTTAAAAAATACCAAGCTGGGAGCAGCCTCTAACTGCAAACCTAGCTGCAGTTTATCACAATTTAAATATCCCACTGACTGTGTTTGTTTACAGGCTTTCAAGGAGGCTTCAAGAAACTCACTTTGATCTTTTGGATGCAAAGACCCTAAACAGTATATTTTCAAAGGTTTTGGATGTTTTTATTTGTTTTAAATTTACTGAGGGACTCACTACTATGCTACTAGTGACAGAAAGTCATTTAACATCAGTTGTTGGATTCAGGCTGATTCAAAATATTTATTTGTGATATATCTTTTTCAGCTTTATTAATCAACATTAGCAGATTATAATTTGCAAATATATTAAAGAATATTTTAATTACTTTTGGAACATTTTACTCAATGTGCTGGTACATATGGCAGATTTTGCATGCAATTTTATGCAGATGAGTTCGACCTAAAGAGGAAGGCAATGAAAATTCAATTTTCATAACAAACTCTACTTATGTGGGAAATTGTGCACAAAGCAGAAACTCCAGCCCATTTTACTACGGGATAAGAAATTTTCACAGATCATATTAGATCATATCTGTTACCTTGCATGCTTCTGGAAAGAATACTGGCTAATAATTGAACTTTAATTTTTAGTGAGCCAGAAGGCATGAACAGAATGATGAGGACCCAAAAGACTGAAACTGGACAGGCAGTCAATTTCAAGGCTTTGCTCTCAATAATGTTGGCAGTAATCAGCTTGTAAGGACAGCTAATCCATGCAAAAAGTCACAAAGAGTTTGTCAAGTGGTTAGTTTGAACAACTTTAAATGAGGTCCTCACAACGACTATTTACAGTCAAATTAATGACTTCGATATAGAAATTGAATGTGCTGTAGTTAAATTTGCAAATGGAATAGATGGGAAAGTAAGTTGCAATGAAGAAACAAGAACTTTACAAATGGATATGGATAAGTGGGGTGAATGGGCCAAAATTTGGCAGATGGAGTTTAACTTGGATAAGTATGTCATTTTAGTCAGCAAAATAAAAAGTCAATTTCTTTTCTAAATGGAGAGAAACTTCAAAATGCTTCCGTGCAGAGAGATCTGGGTATCTTTGTACATGAGTCGCAGAAAACGAGTATGCAGGCACAGCAGGTGATAAGGAGGCAAATATAATGTTGACATTTATTGTTAAAGGAATGGAGATTAAAAGTTGGGAAGTGTTGTTGCGACTATACAACTAAGAAATTGGTTATGTGGCAGACAACAGAAAGTAGGGACATTGGGTAGGTACTCAAATTGGCAGGATGTGACATTGATGTCCCACAAGGTTCTGTGTTAGGGCCTCAATTATTAACATTATTTATTAATGACTTAGATAATGGCATAGAAAGTCATGTATCCAAATTTATTGATGACACAAAGTTGGGTTGTGTTATAGACAGTGTAGATGATAGCATAAAATTACAAAGGGATATTGATAAGACTAAATGAATAAGCAAAACTGTGATAGATGGAGTTCAACATAAGCAAGTGAGGTTAGCTATTTTGGACCGAAAAGGATATATCAATGTACTTTCTAGATGGTATGAAGCTAAATACAGTGGATGTCCAAAGAGACTCAGGTACATTGATCATTAAAATGCCACCATCAGGAACAGATATAATCAAGAACGCTAATAGAATGTTGGCATTTACATCTAGAGGACTGGAGTATAAGGATACAGAAGTTATGCAGCAGCTATACAAAACCCTGGTAAGACTATGAGCAGATCTGGGCACCACACCTTAGGAAGGGTATATTGGCCTTGGAAGGAGAACAACGTAAGTTTACAAGAATGATACCTGGACTTCAGGGGTTAAGTTATGAGGAGTGATTATACAAATTATGCCTGTTTTCTCTGGAATTTAGAAGGTTAAAGGGTGATCTGATTGAAATCTTCAAGATATTAACAGGATAAGACAGACTATATAAAGATAAACTATTTCCACTGGTTGGGGATTCTAGAACTAGAGGGCATAGTCTGAGAATTAGGGCCAGACCATTCAAGGGAGATGTTAGGAAGCAATTCTACACAAAAATGGTAGTTAAAGTTTGGAATCTCTTCTACAAATAGCAGTTGGTGCTAGATCAGATGTTAATTTTAAATCTGAAATAGATTTTCTTTTGTTAGGCAAAGGTGTTAAGAGGTATGGGCCAAAGGCAGGTATATGGAGTTAAGCCATGGATCAGCCATGAACTCATTGAATGGTGGAACAGGTTTAAGGGGCTGAATGGCCTATTCCTGTTCCTACATTCCTGTGTAAAAGGCATTCGTGAGAGATCATCTGGACCACTGTGTACAGTTTTGGTCTCCTTATTTGATGAAGGATGTAATTGTATTGGAGACCATTCAGAGAAGGTTCACTAGATTAATTCCTAAAATTAAAAGCTTGCATTGAGAGATGAGATTGAGCAGTTTGAATTATCCACTGCCTGGGCTCTGAATGAAATTAGCATTCCGCTAACATTGTAGAGCAAGGCTGCCAAGTAAAACTGGGTTGTCACCCTTTACAATATCCCCAGAAATGAGGCACAGAGACAGTATACCAATGCCACCTGATCAGTAGGACAACTATTAAGCAGGCCACAAGGCTTCTGAAACTGGAATTCCAGTGTCTGCCTGAATTGACACAACCCTCCTGCCAGAGTCTCAGTCATTATGGTCAGGTGCCACGCTCTCTATAAACATAGACACAAAGATGCTAGAGACATATGGATCTTGACGACAATGATGCCCTGGAAAGAGACAGCAAATTGGAGGACAGGAGGAGTAGAAAGTGTGAGAGGGGAAGGGGATGGAACTCAAAGTGGGACCCCTGCTGCATGACCATCCAGATTCCTCCTGCCATAACTTGGAAAGAGGAGGTCTCTTCTCTCCTTTATGTCATCCAGTATTAGATCCAGATTGGCATCAATGAGCTGGGAAGCTGTAGTACGCTCCAGTATCTGATTACCTGCTCTC